CAAGGATGCCAATGGGGGCCTGGGCAGGAGTGGGACAGATTTAAGGGTCTCTGGCAGAAGGGGGTGGGACTGGGGGAAGTGCCAAGGCATGGTCCACCGGGGCAAGTGCCAAGATGGCCACCACAAAATTGTACATTGGCTCCCGGCTGGCCTGGGCCAGGGCCAAGGCAGTGTGAGCCCTCACTGTTTCCAGAATGGCTTTGCGGGCCACATGAAACCACTTTGCAGGCCGCATCTGGCTCCCGGACCTTGTATTTGACATGTCTGCCTTAGCCACTACACCAAACTGGCTCTCCTTCATTTGTATACAAACTTTACATTCCCTTCTCCTCTGAAAAGAACCGTACAATATTTCAGTTTTCCCAACATGTAAAATTCTCCATATGAGATCATCTACCTCTCCCTGTGTAACTGTCAGCCTCTCCAGTCTTCCAGGACTTGGATAACTTGGCTGGAGTCAATGCCCTGGTTGGAGGCTCTGATCATAGAATTGCTGCCCAATAACAAGGCCAGTTCCTGTCATGTATCTCTGGATCCTGCTCAGATATGACTGAGAGATATTTTGTAGTAATTCAGAATCTTTTTTTTTTTTTATTAAAAGTTTTATAAGTTTTACAAAAAAGAAAAAAGAATACAAAACAAGAGACAACATATACAAAAAAAATAAAACTAAACAATACATATATAAAATAAAAAAAAATAAACCCCCCCCACCCCTCCCAAAACCCCCCCCTCCCTTCCCCCCCCCCCTGAGCTTCCCAGAGCAGAATATAGGCTTAAAAAGTAAAAATAAAAATTAAATTAAAAACTTTATATTTATATATATAAAAGATTATCTATAATATATATAAAAATAAAACTTATGAAAAAACTATATAATATTTTTGTATACCCAATCTAAATTGTATAAATTTTATCCATTTATCCCAAACAGCAAAAAACTTCTCTTGCGTTTGTTGCTTTAAGAAAGCCGAGATCTTTGCCATTTCCGCCAGATAAGCTACTTTAAGAAACCATTCCTTCAATGTAGGCAAGGATTCCTTCTTCCAATATTGTCCTACTAACAGCCTAGCGGCTGTAATCAAATTTAACATCAATACAACCTCCTTTGTATCACAATCTGTAACAATACCTAACAAAAATAATTGCGGAGTAGATTTTACCCTCCTTCTAAAAATTCTCTGGATATTCCACCATACTTTGATCCAAAATGCTTTTATCTCTCTACATGACCACCAAATATGGTAATAGGAAGCCTCCTTATAACCACATCTCCAACATTTGGGTTGCACGTCAGGGTACATATAAGACATTTTTTGTGGATCAAGGTGCCATCTATAAAACAAGTAATTCAGAATCTTAAAGATGACTTTAAGATATTGTAAGCTTCCAGAACCTTTCTTGCTGGGATTAATGGACGGTCAATTGGAAAGAGCCAATCAGAAAGACCATTTTTATATCCCATTACTGCTGTGGGGACTCTTCTAGGTGCAAAAAACAGGAAGATTCTGAAATAGCCACAATGGAGGAATGGTTCGTGATAGAACTACCAGAGAAGGCAAAATTAACTTGTTTGGCTAGTGAACGATAAACAATTACATTTATCAGTAAACGGAAACCCCTTGTGATTTTTTTGCTGAAAAAAAAAAGAAAAGAAAAATGAACTTGTGATTTACGGGTCTGAAGATTAGAAAGGGTAGCTTATATAAAGAAGGAAATTATGATACAACCTTAGAGAGGGGGGCGGTAAAATATAAATGTTATCTATAACTGCTGTCAAAATGATTGGAAGCTGTTTCCTTAAAATGTTCTTTTCTTTCTTTTCTATTTTTTCTCTATTTCTTTTTCAGTTTTATTACTTTATTTTTCCTTAATTTAAAAATCCTAATGTTTTTGATTCTGTTGAAAAATGACATTTTTTTAAAAAAGGAAGCAATAACATTACAGACCCATTTCCCTACTACATATGTAGAATGTATGAATAGTACTACATTCACACTGCACTGATACACCTGTCATACTTGTACGTTAATATCTGAGCAAAAAGAAGGCAAAGATATACAAGTGACTGAAGGAAAAATGCATCACCTTATCCTGCCTGAGAAGAGGGTTGGACTAGATGACCTCCAAGGTCCCTTCCAACATTATTATTAGTAGTAGTATTAGTATTATTAGTATTAGTATTATTATCTTGTAAGGATTCCTGAATTTATATAAATATGGTAATTCCCAAACAACTGTATGGGAGGTATATGGAGGCAGCTGCTAATGGGCAGTAGCTATTAAGCAGTTATTCTAGGAATACATAGCTTTAATAGTACCATCTCTCCATATATGTGAAAAATGGAGATTTCTTGAAGCAATACAAGCACCATGGGTCTACCACCATCGCTAGAATAACTCAGTGCCATCTGCAAATCCTGGGAACCTACAAGACCATCTTTTTCAATCTGTCTCAATCTGATTTATTAAAGCATTGAGGGAGAATTTCCTAGTAGTGTCACACATCCAGGAGATGAAAAACATGTATGGTAGAAGACAGTGAGGTCACAGTTAACCAAGCCCACTCTGGAGATCAGGCTATCCTACCTACTTGATGGCTTCCAGAAGATTGTTAAAAACTGAGCTTTTCATGAAATGTTTCGGTAATGGTTTACCTGCTGCACCAATGCTTAACTTTTTTTTTACTTTTATTTTTGTTATTGCTATGCTCTATTTTTGTCATTAATGTTATGATTTATTTTTGGAGTCTGCGTATAATTTGTACTGGAAGTTTTAACATTAGTTAATAGCACTAACACAGGCTGAAGTAGAATGAGAAAGAAGAAAGAGAACAAATAAAAGAAAAAGCTGAAAGTACAAAAAAGAAAAAAAACATAAGAAAAATATATAAAGATGGGTCTTCTGATCTTCTTCATGGCAGTTATAAGTACATTTGTAGTTTAACCTCTCTCTCTAAGGTTACATCCTGACTCTCTTCTTTCTATCCTGTCTAATCATCAAAACCATAAATCACAAATTCATGTTTTTCTTTTTTATGAGTTTATTTTTGTTCACACTATGGATGTTTTAATTTTTGCATATGTCTGTAAACTATTAAGAATTGTGAAGGTGTGATGGGATAATCAATCAACCAACTCAACCAGTCAGCGCTGAATTAGCAGCCCAAATGCTCTCTCTCTCTCTCTCTCTCTCTCTCTCTCTCTCTCTCTCTCTCTCTCTCTCTCTCTCTCTCTCTCTCTCTCTCTCTCTCTCTCTCTCTCTCTGTGTGTGTGTGTGTGTGTAAATTGTATACTCCATTTATAATTCAGGAGAAAAACTGTCATTTTTTTTAAAAAAAAATAGTTTTAGTATGTGCTATCCCAACTGAATATTTTAATGATTCTGACTTGTAAAATATTGGTTTGGCATCGACTAGGTTTTTTAACTTGAATTCTTCCTCTGTAAACTATCAAGATGCAACTGGATCGAGTCCACAGATAAAGTGCATAAATTAAAAAAAAAAATTGGAGATCGTACATCTGAAATTCTTTCTGAGTTGTCAAATCTTGTCCCGAATGAGGATTTGCTGAGAGGTCAAATCTTGTCCCGAATGAGGATTTGCAAATTCATGCAAATTCCATGCACCTGAATTTTCAAACATAAATTAAATTATCTGCTTGGAATATGTGTTAGTTAAAAATAATATCTACAGATAAAGAGTAAAAAAAAAAAACCCTCCTCAAAACTCTTGTGGAAGACAGGTCACTGGAAACACGTAGGATCTGGTTTGGCAGAATAGATTGTCTAGCAAAATGTAAACAGTTAAACAAATGGAAAAAAGATATTTCTGTGTCAGCTTCACCAAATTCTCCTAATCCTGGTATCATCTGGAAGCTGTTTGCTTTTCCAAATCAGTACGAGCATCTCAATCAAAATCTCACTGAACCAAATGTTAACTTCTTCTAGCCACTGCCCAGGCTAACAGTGCCCCTACCCTATCCAAAAATTTCCATGGAGGGGAAAAAAAAATAGCAGCGGTTACAGAAATGCTATTGGGCTTGATTAAATATGGATGTCATGGAAGGAGGTAGAAGAGAAACTGGAGATGCTTAGAAGCAACTCTGTGTCTCTCCCCCTCTCCCCCCCTAAATGTTTCATACATTCAGCCTTGTATGAAATCAAAGAGGTAATTGAAAACAGTTTGGCTTGTCAGGAGGAAAACAATCACCTGTTTGTTGTTCCCTTGCATGTGCCAATTTTTTCCAAATTAGAGGAGGCTGTAGTGGCTCCATTGGAGTCTTTGCAGGATAAGAGCTGGGAGTCATAAAAAGATTAGTTAGAAATCCCAGTTTTTTTTAAAAAAAAATGAAGAGTGGGGTTGTTGGGTTTTTTGTTTTTTTTTTTTTGTTCCTCAGCTCCGACATTGCAGGGAAATGTATGCATTTCGAAGGCAGCTGATGTGAAAATCCTTTGCCTGGTGCCTGGGCCTTTTGTTTCCTTTTTCATGGCAATTCCCTGCCCTTTGGCACGGATGCACTAGGAGCAAAATTAATTTCAAGACTCTCATGGAAGATGGCCTCAATGAAATTTCCCCTGCATCCTCCTCCTGGGGATAATTGGGATGTGACGTCATATGAATTGATTGTTCTTCTGAATGGTTGGGGGGGGGGGCGGAGATTGACAGGGAGAGGAGAGAGAGAGAGAGAGAGAGGAGTTCATCAGCAAACACAAACGTGCGAAACCACATTAACAGTTCCTCTGTGTTATGAGAACCTGACATCTTGGCTTCACAAACTTGATTATTGCATTGTAGCCTATAATTCTCAGGCTGGTCTTTTGCTACCTGATTATTATTATTATTTAATTCCCATTGATTTCTTCCCCCTCCTAGCAGGATCTGTTGATCCAATGTGCTGCTCCAGAGGCTGGTATAAGATGATAGAGATGGGAAACGCATCACGACAGAGAGATCCAGAGGGGATGGGCATGCCTGTTGAAACCGAGGGAGGCAAAGAGGGGGAAAAATTGGTTCCTGTGTTCTCCAGGGGTATTGTGTCAGGAGATGCAAGCAAGGGACCATGTGACGAGTGAGAAAGCTGGAGGGATTGGTTGAGATGCTAGCAGCAAGTGTGTGAGCTAAGCTGGCTCCCTCCATCACCCCTCCCTTCCTTTCTCTCCTCTCTGCTCTCTCTCTCTTTCTCTTACCCGTTCTCGCTCTCGCTCTCAGCATCTTTCTGTGATTCTGTAGGTGATACAGTCACAGCAGCATCCATGGCCTGCCTTTTGCCTTAGCCCACTCTCCTTCTGTTTTGATTCCATACATTTCTTCTCCTCCCCCCTCTCTTTTTTTTTTCTCTTTTGCTCTGACAGCTTTACGAGCGATGCATCTGAGACCCCGGCACTGAGAGTTTACATGAAGCATCTGCTCAACTGGAGTCATAATTTCCCGTATTTTTTTCAGCCTCTGTGGAAACTGAGGAATGCAATTCTGCCACCATGATGGAAGGTAGGTCTTTTGCTGCTTCTGGCTTAGGGCTTCTGCTGCTGTTTCTTAGGGCAGCTTTTGCAGGGCAGAGACGGAGGATGCTTGAGGTTCTGTCATTGAGTCTCAGTGATGAGGACTGATTAAAAAAAAAAAAGAAGGCCAGCTTGGATTATGACGATAGTTGTCTTTCCGGATAGCCTTTGCAGTGATCAAATTGTCAGTTCTTTTGGTGCATCTGAGGAGCTGTAATATTATTATTCATGTAGCTTCCCCCCCCCCCCGCCCGAGGATGGAAAATAAAATCCAGCAGTCTGTGGCCTGTAGAAATAGTCTCAGCCCAGGAAAGGAGAAAAGTAGTAGCCCCAAAAGATTGAGATATTTTTTTGGTTTGGTCTGATGCCTTCTCCCTCCACCCAATCAAAACTGATGCTTGAGAGAACATTTTAAAAAAATATGGGAGAGAGGAGATAGAATGTCAAATATCATTCTAAGCAGGTGTTCTGCAATCTTTTCAGAGGAAAGATTTTATTTTATGCAATGGAATCATTTATTTATTTATTTATTTATTTATTTATTTATTTATTTATCCTTATTTCAAGATATGCCCTTCAACTAATGGGTGGAGATCAGTAAAGGAAGAGCCTTTTGCTTGTATAATATTTGTGGTCTGAAGCCTCGAGGATGCAATCATTCTTTGCATGTGCAGCAGTTGTAGCTGTAGGTTATCGTGCTTATAGGCAGAAGTACAAAAAGTCAAGGCAGTCTCCTTGGGCCTGCAGTACAGAATAGGGTGAGCCAGTTGGGCCTTCAGGCTTTAAAACCACCCAACCTGGCTATGATCTGCTGGAGGCCCACCACATAGCCATCATGGAACCTGGGTATTTGTTAGGTCAAGATGATGCGTGGGAGCAGGACAGTAGGTAGAAGTAGGTTGTAGGCAAGCATAGCAGCTAGCCAGGGCATTTTGACTAGGGACAGCAGCAGATGGCAGCAAAGAAATAGAGACAACCTTAACTCTTTGCTGTCATCTAGTGGTGGTCTGGATTTTTCACCTAGTTGTCTGGATTTTTTTTAGATTTAGTAATTGCTTAGGGGCAATCAATTTCCACTCCAAAGAGGGTGCCTGGGACCGCTGTTGCATGTCTTGAGGGCAGTTGGTGGACACTACCCCAGGAAGCAGAAAAGAACTTCTCACTATTTTAAGTGGCAACTAATTTGGGGATGACAGAGTTGCCCAACAGTTTACTGGAGTGAAATGAATGAGAGTTTACATAAAACATTGAAGTATATACATTTACACATGTAATAGAATGAAATCCCATCTGACTGGTTTCTGGAACGGAATTTAATGAAGATGTTTGGTTTTCATCTGTTCTAAGCATCTCAAGTCCAGGCCAAAGAAAACATGTTATGGAGTTATGATAAAAATTCTGGAATGTAGATGGTATACAGATCACAATGACAGATGGAGTGATGAGGTTTAAGAGTACTAAGCACATAAATAGAGCACTTAGTACATAGAGTACTAAATCTCTATTTCTCCTGGCCTCCATGCTGTAGATCATGCAGAGATAGTTTTGGCAAGAATTGACTGACACCTGCAAAGGCCTGCGTCTCAAACCTGAAAATTGCATCCATGATGCATATTCATTCCGGATTTGTCATTTCAACACTCCCCCCATCACTACAAACCCTGCCTGGATGTTGCTTCCTTTAATCTAATCATGAGAATGCTACCTACAGCCTATTTTTGTCCATGACAAATCTTTCACTGATCTTAATAAGATTAGATTACAATTTGCCATTTTATAAACTGAGGAATTTCCAACAATGGAAATTGCCTATTTAAGGATTAAAATTCCTGAAATTGATCAGTCTTTTCCATTATAGGATATACAGTTTGAAACCGAATGATTTGAAAACTTTTACATTCTTTCTTCTAATGATGTATTTGTCTGAGTGTATTTTAAATTTCTTACCTAGTTTGCAAGATGAGTATAAATAATTGAAGCCAAGTTATGGGTTTTTTCAGGAATAGGAGGAACTATTGATCTTTTAATATATCTTATTAATAACTGGTTTCATTTTCCTTTACAAATTACTTTTTTCATGACAGACATGAGTGCTGTGTGTGATATTAGGATTAATTACCATTGTGCTTAATTTAAAATATGTGAAATAACTAAACACACAAATGATTTTTGTGGTATATACACTTATACAGTGCATTCAGAAAGTATTCAGACCCCCTTCACTTTTGTCAATTTTGTTATGCTGCAGCCTGATTCTACAATTGTTGAAATTCATTTTTTCTCATTAATCTACTCTCAGTACCCCATAATAACAAAATGAATACAGAATTTTAGAAATCTCTGTAAATGTATTAAAAAGGAAAAACTGAAATATCACATTGGCATAAGTATTCAGACCTTTCACTCAGTACTTTATTGAAGCACCTTTGGCAGCAATTACAGCCTCAAGTCTTTTGGGATATGACGCAACAAGCTTTGCATACCTGGATTGGGGAATTTTCTGCCATTCTTCCTTTCAAATCCTCTCAAGCTCAGTCAATTGAATGGCAACCATTTTCAGGTTCCTCTAGAGTAGACATGTGAAACTTGCGATGTCACGTGATGTCACGTGACATATTGGAGCTTTTTCCCCATTGCCGGCAATGGGGTGGGCTCGGTTTCTTCATGACACATCCAGCCCGCAGGCCGGCAGTTTGACACCCCTGCTCTAGAGATATTCAATAGGATTGAAGTCAGGGCTCTGGCTGGACTACCCTAGGACATTCACAGAGTTGTCCCTAAGCCATTCTTATGTTTTCTTGGCTGTGTGCTTAGGACTGTTGTCATGTTAGAAAGTGAATCTTCGGCCCAGTCTGAGGTCCTGGGGGCTGTGGAACAGGTTTTCATTGAGGATATCCCTGTACTTTGCTCCATTCAGCTTTCCCTCAATCCTGATCAGTCTCTCAGTCCCTGCTGCTGAAAAACACCTCCACAGCCTGATGCTGCCACCACCATGTTTCACTGTTGGGATGATAGTGGGCAGGTGATAAGCGGTGCCAGGTTTCCTCCAGACATAACATTTAGAATTGAGGCCAAATAGTTTAGTCTTGGTTTCATCATACCAGAGAATCTTATTCCTCATAGTCTACGAGTTCTTCAGGTGCTTTTTTTGCAAAGTCCAAGTGGGCTTTCATATGTTTTGAACTGAGGAAAGGCTTCCATCTAGCCACTCTGCCATAAAGCCCAAATCGGTCAAGGGTTGCAGTGATGGTTGTCCTTCTGGAACATTGTCCCATCTCCACATAGGATCTTTAGAGCTCAGTCAGAGTGACCATCGGGTTCTTGGTCACTTCTCTTACTAAGGCCTTCTCCCCGATTGCTCAGTTTGACTGGGCGACTAGCTCTTGGAAGAATCCTGGTTGTTCCAAACTTCTTCCATTTGAGAATTATGGAGGCCACTATGCTCTTAGTAACCTTAATTGTAGCAGAAATTTTATTGTAGCCTTCCCCAGATCTGTGCCTTACAATAATCCTGTCTCTGAGCTCTGTAGGCTGTTTTTTTGACCTCATGGTTTTTGCTTTGTTACAATATGCATCTTCAGCTATGAGGCCTTCTATAAAGAGGTGTGTGCATTTCCAAATTGTGTCCAATCAATTTAATTTACCACAGGTAGACTCCAATCAAGGTGTAGAAACATGTCAGCAATTATCAAGAGAAATGGGAGGCACCTGATCTAAATTTCAAGTTGCAAAGGGTCTGAATACTTATGCCAATGCAATATTTCAGTTTTTTTGTTTTAATAAATTTACAATCATTTCTAAAATTCTGTTTTATTTTGTCATTATGGGGTACTGATTTCAGAATAATGTTAAACATACAACAAAATAAACCTGTAATATGTGTTGGCCCAAAATAACTTAAACATGTTAAGGCTGTTTAGCATTGTTATTAATCAATTTTTAAGGCTTTATTATTCTGTCAAATTTATTGGAAAGGCAAAATAATAGTTCTTTAGTTAAGTGATGTAATCCTTACCAGAAACATTTTAAACCTGTGTTGGATGTACTATTACAAGTACAGTTTTTTAAAAAATAGTACATTACTGATCTTCATCAGTGTAGACATTGGCCAACCAATGAATAGACTGAATGAACCTCCATTTTACTATGAAGTCTTCGGAGTACTAGTATCTCTTAAGAGATACCAAACTTCCTATTAATTGATGGAGAAGCACACTGAAAGATATTTCTCTTATTTTAACGTAGCTGTTCTAATGCTAGAAGGAAATAAAATATTTTGAAGCACCTCTAGAAGAAAGAAGCAGGAGAAAGGTCCCTTCCAACTTTACTACTATTATTATTATTAAATTGAAACTTACAGAAGCAAGAACTAAGGGAAACAGGGAGATTTAAAGGAAAATATGCCATGGAAGAAAAATGATTAAAAGCACACTAGTGAAAACTGAAAATAAAATGATGAGTAAAATAATGAACTGGCCAAGATCACAATGTTGAAAAAGAAATAGTCTTGGGCTCCTGGTAATCCATTTTCATCCATTTAAGAAGACTTAAAGATCAAATAAAATAAAGCAAGTGTGGCAGGAGATGATAATCAAGAAAAGTGGTTTGAGAGCAGATCAAAATATTGCCAAAACTGTTAGTGCATTTTTATGTAGTACTGCTGAAACACAATGGAATCTGTAAATATCTGAATGCTATTCATAAAAGTAATAGCTTGGGGGAGATACTTTGAAATGGCTGGGCCAAGTTTATAGTGCTGAAACATCTTTTGGATGAATGTTTGGACCAATCCTCTGTCTTGCTTAAGATTTGAGAACTACAACTGACCTGAAAAGCAGGAAATGTATGTTATATATAAGAACTATTAATTGTTTGAAAACAGTTTGACATAAAAGTGCTATTTTTGCAGCATATATACATATGTATTCTGATTAGACATTTGTTTTCTGCATATGGTAAGGATATTAACAGAATCTAGCCTTATACATA